GTGTATATATAAGTATATATAGATATAGATATATAGATATATAGATATTGTTGAGATATATGAGAGAGTAGATATATATATGCATAGGATATTAATGTAAATAGGGTGGTATTAGATATAGAGAGAGAGAGATTATATGAGAGAGATAATAGAGAATGAGATAGAGAGGAGAATAGCGACATAGATATAGGTATATAGATATAATAAAGATATGTAGGGATAGAGGGAGAGAGAGATAGAAGGGAGATAGAGAATAGAAAGGATAGACACATATTGAGACAGGATAGAGTACTAGAGAAGGGGGAGATGAAGAGGATTATATTGATGTCTATATATGAGATATATAGATATATGCATATATATATATATATATATAGAGGACTATATAAGGAGTGATGAAAATATATTGTATGGATATAGTTTATATACTATAGATAGATATATCTATATATTAGATTAGAGATCTATAATAGATTAGATATTATATTAATAATAAACATATAGGAGATTGTCAAGTAGTGTGGTAGTTATTAGATGATACTATTTTTTGATGTTTGAGATGTATGATTATATATATACAGATTGAGAGAGAAGATATCGGATACATATGTATAGAGTACATAAGATATATATGTGTATGTATATTAGATGGGTATAGATAGATAATATGTATATAATAATATAGGATAAGATATATATATATAAGATATTATATACATACACATATATATAATGTATAGATATATGTATATATATATGTAGAATATATGTATATAGCTAACGATAGAGGTTAGATATATGTTTATAGTGTATAGATATATAGATGAATAGTGATATAATTTGTTATCTATAGATAGTAGGATCTATATATAGATATATATATATATACAAGAGTAGGAGACCAAATAGATGTCTATATAAGATTGGTGGGATGGATATATTAGGATATATATATAGATAGATTAGATAGATATATATACTATATATAGATATATGTACATAAAGATCTATACTATATATCGAGATATTATAGATAGATAAATATTAGATTAGGGATAGAGAGAGATTATTATATATAGATATGGAGATAGATATGTAGATATATATATAGATATCTAGAGTTATGAAATATATATATATTTTATATTTATATATATAGGTATATATATAATAGAAGATGTATATATATATAATATTAATATTATATATATATATATATATATATGTATTAATAATATATATATGATATATATATATCGATAATATCTTCTATATATATATGTATATATCTAGATCGATAGAGATATATAGGATTATCTATATCTCGATATATATATGTATAGATAGAGATCGAGAGAATAGATAGATAAGATTCTCTTAGATATAGATATATGAGATATATAGATTTATAGAGATAGCTTAGCTATGTATATATATATGTATAATATCGGGATATTATAGATCGATATATATATAGAGAGATTATATGATATATATATATTACCATTGTGTGTGGTGGGGTGTATATATATATATATAATATAGATATGGAGATAGGCATTTATAGATTAGGTTGAGATATGTGTATATATATAGAAAAGAATATATATAAGATATATATATATGTCTAGATATATACATATTATGTGATTACAGCGATAGATATACTATATGATATAGAGATTATATATATATAGATAGATCGAGATATATATATAGACATATATCATACATTATAGAGACAGATTAATATACCAGTAATAGATATATATAGATATAGATATATATATAGATATATAATAGTATATCAATATAGATATAAGATATTATATAGAGACACATATATAAAAATATTATGAGATATAGCATATATAGTATATAGAGATCTATAAGTATATAGATATAAATAGATTATAGATAGAGTAGATTGATAGATTATCTATATATATATGCATAGATATAGATAGGGTTAGTAAGGTGTATATATAATATATATAATAGATATAGATATATATAGAGATCTTATATATTAGATATATAGAGAGTATAGAGAGAAAGATAGGTATACAGATGGTATAGATGACATATATAGATACTAGAGGGAGACATAGGTATATACATATCATATATACATAGAGTATACATATGCATATATAATATGATATAGACATAGAAGATATATATATATATATATATATATATATATATATATATATATATATATATATATATATGTATATATATATGTATACATATATGTATATATATATGTATATATATATGTATACATATATGTATATATATATATATATATATATATGTATACATATATGTATATATATATATATATATATATATATATATATATATATATATATATATATATATATATATATACATATATATATATATATATATATATATATATATATATATATATATATATATATATATATATATATATATATATATATACATATATATGTATATATATATGTATATATATATGTATATATATATATGTATATATATGTATATATATGTATATATATATATATATATATATATATATATATATATATATATATATATATATATATATATATATATATATATATATATACATATATATATGTATATATATATATATATATATATATATATATATATATATATATATATATATATATATATATATATATATATATATATATACATATATATATGTATATATATATATATATATATATATATATATATATATATATATATATATATATATATATATATATATATATATATATATATAAATATATATATATATATATATATATATATATATATATATATATATATATATATATATATATATATATATATATATATATGGATATATATGGATATATGTATATATATATGTGTATATATATGTATATATATATGGATATATATATGGATATATATGGATATATATATGAATATATATGTATATATATGTATATATATATATATATATATATATATATATATATATATATATATATATATATATATATATATATATATATATTCATATATATATGTAGATATATGTATATCTATAAATATATATATATATATATATATATATATATATATATATATATATATATATATATATATATATATATATATACATATATATACATATGTATATGTAGATATATGTATAATTATAAATATATATATATACATACATATACATATATATATACATATATAAATACATGTGTGTGTACTTGTTTTTGTAAAAAAAGAAAAAAAAATAAGCAGAAGGTGACACTTTAATTTGAGACTTGTGTTAGTGTAGAAGAGTATATGCATCTGGTGTAAAAAACACTGTAGGGAAATTACAGTTTGTATGAAAGATTTGTGATTGATCCCTATTAAGGTGTCCAGAGAGATGAGATTATTTCATGGCTTAAGAGTTCACGTTGCAAGGGTGCTATATTATGCGGTGTGGAGTCCTCTCACCAGGCTGTTTTTCCTCCTTATTCTCCCCATCAGGCCTCCCTTCATCTTATCCTTCTCTCTCTTCCTCTCCCTGCCCGTCTCTTGTCCCCTTTCCCTAACCATCCACTCCTCCCTGCCTTTATACCTCTGGAGTTAGACTCAGGGGTCAGGGATAACCTTTGAGGTTGTTGAGTGATATACAAATAGTTATTTTATTTTTCCAAGCTGCACTATTTATTTTAAAAGAAAGAAGTGTAATAGATAAAATATCAAATGTGTAAGTTAATTGATACGCTATTTTGACTTTTTACCTTATTTTTTTGAAGGAGCAAATGTTTATTTTTACTGTTTAATTTCAACATGGAAATGTTAGCGGAATCCCTACTTCTCTTGTAAATTTAGCAGATAAACTTAGTTTTGTTGTGTCAAGTCAGAGTAGCTGGAGATATAGGGCACACATTAGGTGAATAAATGTAAATTCCATTTCTTGCTAGCTCCTTCACTCAACGCTGGAAGCTGATATTTTTGTCATAATGGATTCCAGAATTAATCCATAAAGTAATGAAATTAATTAATATATCATGGTAGTGTTGAATTACAATGAAAATGTTGACATATTATAATTTCAGAACTATGGAAAGTGATTATACAGTTCACCAAAAAAATCAAGATACCCAGCCACTATCTTTTTCTTGGCAGTTATAAACAGTATAAACTGCCTATATATGAATCAGAGGAATGCTGTTGTTTTTTTCATACACAAAATCTGTGGTAGAGGTGCTTCGTAGTCTTTAGTTATGTCAATAAAGTTATAATGCGTTCATATGAATTTCTTGCAATCATGCTCACCAAAGCTTGGGTTTAAGTTGTCTTCAAAAAGTTTGTAGAGAAAAATAATTTTCCCTTCCTCCCTTTTCCTTGGGCATATGTGAAATAGAAGTGTAGTATTAAACTTAATACAGAAATATATCTATCATTTGTAGCATTTTAAAAATCTTTCATATATACATAACAGTTTCAGGTTATCTAACTTTAAACTTGAGTTATTTATGCTTTTGGTGGTTATAACATTAATATTGTTAGCCTGTTTGTTTTAGGAATATTTTATTGTTGCCACAGATATATTATAAATGCTCTGAGGTTTCAAACCGAAGCAATGTAGACAATTTTACCACAGTGCCTTATCTAACTTCTGACTGGTCAGTTTACATCATGTTCTTCAGTTACATCACAATGCACATTCTCTTGTAATTATATTTGCTTTATTATCCAAAACAATATCTAATCACATGTTATTTTATCAGTTATATATCATAAATATATATTACTTTCCTTGTATTGTTGATTTCTTGTGTGATAAAAATATTGATTGTTTAATCTGTATATTGAGAAACAATATTTAAAATGTCATGAAAAAAAAAACATTCTGGCATTTCAGTTCCAAGACTAAGATGTATATTCATAATTTACATCATATTTTTGTAAGGATTTTGAAAAGAAACATGAAAGACATTTGAAACATTTTACTATCAATTAAGAGGGTTTGGGTATGGCTTGTTTGCACTGAGGTGAGCAGGGGCCAAGACCCCCGTCAACCCTGAGATCTGGCACAGGACTGCCGCCCAGAGTGACACAAAACACATGGTACAGTATGTCGCAGCCAATACACTCTTATGTAACAACTGAATACCAGATGAATTTGTACACTTGGGGCATTTGGTGTAAAGTGGGCGGCAGGTCTGAGGAAGGGGGAAACGGCGTCACCCTGAGTGGGGTGTCATCACTGTCAGCAATCAAAACACTCTACAATACTTTGTATGCAGAGCAACAGGGGGAGCCACAGTAACATTTAGTCACCTTTAAAAGGATCATTTGGTCAAAAAGGCATACATACACATTACATATTCAAGATAGTACAACAAGGGTAGATAACAATAACACCAACAACCAGGTGGGTGATGCTATATACACCAGTGATCGCAACACATATATGGCAGCTCGTGCCATGTTGAGCAGTGAGCGTACACTAGCATAATGGAGTCCTATCTAGAAACCCTCAAAGAAAAAGGGTCTCTAGATGAACCACTATCACAGTTTGGTGGCCTGGCCAGATCTGGGAATCAGTTCTGGCCATAAGTCACCTTCAATACCACACAATTCCTGGTCCAACCTAGATTCTAGGCTGGCCACCTTATAAAATAATTTCCTAATAAAATTTTTAAAAATTAAGAATAACTAGTTCAGATATCCTTATGATCTTAGACATCACTGGTAATGAAAATGTACACAGAGAAACTTGCCACAATGACAAGTTAGATCTCACATAAAAATAAACATGAAAATATGTACTAGTTTCTCATGATAACAATTAATGATGATGAACAATGAGTGGGTGTGAATGTGAGCTAGAGTAGAGACTGGCTGCCTCGCGTGTGGCCCACAGCTGAGGTATGGCTTGTACTCTCCTGGGATTGTCTCCACTTGGTGCACATCAGGGCTTGCCGGAGGCTACAGTGTGAGCTCCGGCCATCATTCCTGCTACTGCCGCTGGTGCAGACACAACTACAACAGGCTTCACTAATCCGCCCAGAGCACCTCCTGTCAAAGAGGTGGCATACTGTGCTGGTACCAGTGGTACACTTGTTGCATTTCCTCCTACTGCAGTTGCTTTTAAGCCCTTGGTTCCAACAGTTGTGACATTGCATGGTACCACAGCACGCTGAGGTTGTGAGACAACCAGTGGTGCAACTAGAGGTGTACCTATCCCAGGTACCAATGTTCCCATGTTGCTACCGAGACCAGACACCAACTGTGTGATACCTGCAAAGTAATTAGTGATGTCTATAATCATCTTTAGACATTTCTTTTGAGAAAGTGTACAAAGACACAAAAAACAAAATCAAAATAATATTTTTTTCAAAATTCACACAATTCAAATTATTGCACTATTTGGCAAATCAGTTACATAGAGAGAAATGACAACCAAGCATCTCTGCACAAAATCACCCAAAAACTTTTCACTATTACATTAATATCAATCAATCCCATCTAATTGAATTTCAATTGATGTCCCTTACTAAGTAAACTTACCATTGGCATGAGTAATTGGGAGATAAGATGGTATGAGGGAGGATGTGGCTGCCTGGCTAACCTTCACTGTTGCTGTCCCTCCGACACTCAGATTCAGTGGTACTGTTGTTACTGTTCCATTAGTGCCTAGAAGAGAGAAGGACCATTTTACTTCAAGAATGTGCATTTTCAATTTTACCTTGTGATTTTTCAATCCTTTGTAATAGGATGCCATGTTCTCTGTGATTTCAGTTTATTTACTGTGTTTACATTTGGGGGCTGAGCACTTGTGGAGCCATCTGTATGCAAATTCACAATGGCCTGTACACATACCTTGTACAAAATGTTAAGATGAAAAGGTATGATAAATGCTTACCCTGTGACTGATTGAGTGACCGGGCTGTAGTGGGGACAGCCAGGTGTAGAGCAGACACGCCATTCTTGTTCAGGGCCACCATCATGGGCCCTGCACTTGTTTTGACCTCCTCTGCATTATCTGCCCTATCCAAGCCTTCTGCTGCAATCAGATTTATACAATTTTAGGATATTCAGAGGGCTTGTGGTTTGTTTTATCTTTAAAATTAATTGTATATTAAGAGTAGAAGGCTTCTGATGAGCCCACATTGCTGACCACGAACCCACATATGCAAAATATACTCAACCCTTATGTGAAATAAACTTACCAGGGTGTGCCAAAGTGATAGTGAGGGGTTTAGAACCATTGGGCCCATGGTCAGCAGGTAACAATTTGTAGCCTTCTGGCGTGATGACCTGGATGGCCGTCTGCCCTAGTAGTCCCCCTGGAGCACCATTCAGCTGCATTCCACCTGCAACCAGCTGTGCTGGCAGGTGGATTCCAGTGTTGCCTATGATGGGAAGGTGTTCACTATGTGCGGTGGTGACGGTATCTCGTGTGACTGTGGGCGTCATGGTCGTGACAGCATGTGTCACCCAGACCTCCTCCTGGGTACTGGTGGTGGCGTCATAATGAGCTTGGCCATAAAGCGGGGACGCCTGGCGGGCACCCCACTCACCATTGTGGTGTGGGGACCTTGCCTGGCTCACCACCTGCTGACCCCGAGGAGAAGCTCTGGCTGAATCAACCATGCTGGTCGACAGGTTCAATGGCTGATTGGGGTCTGCAAAGTTTTCTCTGGGACCAGCAGCACCGAGGCCATTTATGTTTGTGGTTTCAATGGTTGTAAAGCTTGGAGTCCCCTGAGATTGGTTAATGTGCAGACGTGGGGAGAGTGAGGAGGGAGGGTCACTGGAGGTGCTAGGAGAGGCCTGTGTGCCTGCATCCCTTGCAGCCTCTTCGTCCAGGTCTGGCTGCTCAGAGGCAGTGGTTGTGGACTTGGTCTCCTTATCGCGGTGCTGGTCAAGAGACGCTGCATCAGGCAGGAGGGTACTGAAGTCAATATGGTCCCAGCGAGCTGACAACTCTTTCTTCAGAGTCGCCAGGTTCTGTTGATGAGCAATCTTTTCCCGCGCAAGACGCTCCATCTCATGCTCATACTCCCGCTCCTTTCTTTTCAGATTCTGAAAACCATTAAGGCCAGAAATTAAATCTGTGTCTGCATAAGATTATCTGAGATAATCATAACTACTAAGGTATCTAGTCACCGGACACATGGAAATCAATATGCAGCATGAAATTGTCTTTATATCTTCAACCTACAGTAAAACCACTATATTTGTCTCTATGTGTAACCCCATAAAATGTCTAGTGGTAATGTGACCAAGATCATTGACCTCTCGCCTCGTCACCCACTTCTCATCTTTTCCTTCCCTTCCCCTTCACTCCCTCTCCTTCCTCTACCCTTC